AGTAGTGCAGAAAGAACATCTGTCTACAAGAATTCAGAAATATAAAGGTAAAGGAAGTTGCAAAGGGTTCCTGAGTGTGTAGGGAGAGTGTCTAGTTTTAGTCTAAAAATTGACGTATACTAGACGCATTCAGAAAACCTAACCATCAGTTCGCAAATTAATCGAATTCTCGTGCTCACCGTACCTAAGAAAGTGAATTCATCCAAAACAATTGCACAGATAAAAAGTTTCATTTGAGATTTAAACAAGAAATATAAGATAAAATGTTTAAAGAGTAGCGAATATGAGGCTTGAAGAAAACAGAGAAAGCATGAAAACGACGACGCAGTACCGAGTGAGTGGCTAGGCAGAGGGAGGCGGAGGAGCAGCGGAAGCAGAAGAAGCGTCAGCAGGAATAACGAGAGTCCAATCCGGAGGAAGAGGAGGCATAGGATCGTACACAGTTGGCTTGCGGTTTATATCCCATGGCTGCGTCTTCCGTGGCCGAGTCTTCATGTGATGCGCAGTCGCTTTCTTCTGCGGCCGAGACGAACACACTATCGTCAATCCTCCGTCACTTCTCTTTCCAATTCCCAGTGCTTGTGGTGGCGCCATCACCACTCCACACCCAAACATGCTCGACAACGACGACATCCTTCTCTCTTCTCGCTTTTCTCTCTTCTCTTCGGTTGTTTCTCAAACACTCATCTCTTACCGCTTTATCCCTCTCAGATATTTTTCCAAAACTTCCCAATTTACCCTTCGATTTTGGTTCGGAGGTACAAGGCCCAAAGGTTATTGCTTTTTCCCTCTTCGACAGTTTCCTCCTCCATCCATTAAATTTTTCCTTACACTACATTATTCTGGAAAGTTTTGAAGAGTGTAAAAAGAAAATTGACAGGGTACAGAAAGAAACATCCTCCCTCTTCACGAACTTTACTGGGCCTGGTCTTTTCTTTCTATACCTTTTGGGCTTCCCCTTTTGCAGACACCTTTGCTGAAATTAATCCATGATTCGATAACAGTACAGAAGCATGAACCATCTAATCTCTAAATTTATAATGATGAATTAAATTTGTTTTTTACACTGATAGACAAGAAAAATTATTTCCAAAATACTAATTAATATTAATGTGGTCTCTTTGAAATTAATTTAATCATTTCTTATTAACTAGCATTATTAAATAATGCCAAAAGGTACTGAAATAAAAATTTCATTTTACTTTCTCTATTTCTTTCTTCTTATTCGTCCATTAGTTATGTATTATCTCATAATTTATCCATTTAATTAGTAAACACTTTCAAAATTTTAAGTATAAACTTGTTTGGACAACCTTTTCCCCAAAAAAAAACATTTATAGAAGATGAAAATAATAAAATAAAAAAAATAAGAACATTTCTCGCAAACTAAAATTTTTGCATAAATTAATAAATTACAAATAAAATTTTTTTTTCTTTCGATTAGGTCCATCGAGATACATAATTAGCATTAGTGACCATAATTATCTATTCTATAGATTTTTTTTTAAATTTAAACAAAGATTAATATCCCTTGTCCGTTAACTCAGTAGCTTAGCTGTTATCAACAATGTTTAAAAGGACGCAAACAAAATCCATTTAATATGGAACATGGCTACAAAAACACGAAGACACTCCTTTGTTACTACTCAAACCCAAATTCGTACTTAGGTGTGAGCAATTTCTTGTGGCAATACACAATACATAAGTTGATCTTATTTCTTCTACAACTTATTCAAAAAGACATTCGATATTTCAGTAAAAATATGTAACTACCATTCAAACATTTCCAACTACTAATGACACATACATAAAATAGATTTAGGCATTTCATCTTTTATTTATGAAGTAAACATGTATCCATATACCGTGATACATAACAACAATAAAATTTATGTCTCATTCATTTTCATTGGATAATGGTCATGCTTATACTTGAACTTTATTGTTTTAATTATTAATCAAATAACTTCTTTTACAAAGAAATAAAAAACACATCGAAGTAAACATTATATTATCAAGGATTTATTGTTAAAATGACATAAATTTTAAATATTTACGCGGTTGAGCACTTTAAATTGAAATAGTAAGATTTATTTATGTGGATAAATAAACAATTAATAAAAATATTGATCATAAAAATACTTGAAAAAAAATTAAATAATCAAATGTGCCTCATAAAAAAATATTTTAATTGATTAAATTAATGTTTGTGTTTTTACAAAATTTAATAAATCGTTTGCATGGAATCACACAAATAAAAGATAAAAGTATAATCAAGGTTGTGACAAAAAGAGATGTATCTTAGGGATACGGGTTACCTTTATGAATATTGAAGAAGTCAAACAATAATTAAGAGAAGACGAAAAAGTGTGGCATAAGAAATAAATAAAGGTTTTTCCAAACAAACAAGACTAAAGATAAAGGAAAACATTGAATATATCTTACCTAATAAACTGTTAATGTTTTAGTAATTTAAAACGGGATAAATATGAGAATAAAAATATACAGACGGAGTCCAAACAAATACACATATAATCGTTTACAGTCTCATACTCAATTTTAAAACTATGTATTATACATATTTAGTCAAAGAAATTGTTCCTTGTTAAAATCGGAACAAGTTAGACAACACATGCAAAAAAAAAAGGATTTATTTGTTATTCATATTACTAACTAACTTTGAAGTTGTATTTTAATTATAAAAGTATAACTTTTTAAGATTTGACAAAAGATTATAAATACTTTAAGGAAAGTCTGAGTGTTTAAATGTAATAACCTAGGAGTTGAGTTTATGTTAATTAACATACAACTATTGAAAGGAGAGAAAAGAAATAAAAAATTAAGTTCCTTATTAAGTAAAGTTCTATTCGTTAACAGGAGATCTCGTGTACACATTGTTTTTTATAATACATGCCTTGACATGATCTATTCTATCATGTCATTAGCATATACATTGAAGAAAGTGAAACACTTTTAACTAAAATCTCTTGGTATATATGTCACGAGTTATACACTCCAACTTTCTGAGTATTCATAAATATTTTATATCAATTATTATTTGCTTATTGAATATAAGTTGTGTTGCTTGAACCTTTATGAAGATTATGTGGTGATACCTCTATCTAAAAGTATTTATTAGTAATAATAAAATATACAGTATTTAAAAATAATACTAATGAAGAAAATAATACAAGATTTAAATTCTAATATAAGTTATAATGACAAAAATAATGAATTAATAATAGTACTAATTTTTTTACAATTCAATATTTAATTAAAATTATTTTTAACCAATCACGTTTTATTTTAAATTAATTATACTTATTTTTTTTTATAAAAAATCATCAAATTTTATTTTAAATTAATTTTAACTAATCACATTTCACTTTCTACTAATTTTAACCACAAAGATAAATGTATAATCTTATTACTTAATTTATTAAAATATGTTTTTAATCTTTTGCATCCATCAAATTATTCATAAACTTTAAATAAAGTTTACTTCCAACTATCTTTATTTTCACTTTTAAATTCCTTGAAAAGAATTTATCTTCTATTTCTTTCAAAATAATTGACTCTCCCTCAAATAATTTTTTTAAGTCTAAATTAAAAAAAACCGACTAATTTTACTTTTGTACTAACAACTTTATCAACTATATTGTGCACGTCAATTAAATAATCCATATCACTCATCCATCTCATAAATGTTTTGCACATCTTTATCTTAATCTAGTGCTTTTTATTTGCCATGTAGACCATCTTTAAGATGCATATACCATGTCTCATGTTTTATATATAATATTTTATAAGTTAACCTATGCAATGCCTTCGACAGATCACTATGAGACCATGAAAATGACTCCACCTTCTATATTCGTAAGGGTTAAATCTGATTTTTCTTTTTAATTTCTTTTTAATGGACTTCACCAATTCAAACGTGCAAAAAGAGCTATTAGACGAAATCAACAACAACACTTGTAAGTATAACAAGATAGAAGAATCCCTAATTAAACCCTCAAATGTGAAATCCTAATTCTTAAAACCTATTTAAAAATCTTAAAATATGGAAACTATCTTATTCTAAAATATTATTGAAAACTTCTTTGATATATATATATATATATATATATATATATATATATATATATATATATATATATATATATATATATATATCCAACAAATATGTTAAGTCTAAGTGATATGATTTAATAAAATTCATTTAACTTTCTCAACTTAAAGTTATTGAAGAATATTTCAAAATATATTTGTTATATATTTATATTATATGTTATTAAATCTTATTAATGTGATTATATTATAACATTCTTTAATATTATATATTTATAAGATATTTGGTGAAAACACATTATCGTTATTATTTGATATAGTATTTCATCGTAAAAAAATACACTCGTACTCATTTTATTCAAAAAATTTAAACTTTTCCGAATTATATTTTGTAGGTAAAATTTCTTTCCGCTCCAATCTTCAAAAATATACATTAAAAAAAGTTTTCAATCCACTAAAAGTCTCGTTCGAAAATGCATATTCATATTTTAAAAATAATATCTTATTAACTCAAGAATCTAAAAAGAAAAATTCTCAAATTGTAGCCATACATAGAACGACTAATTCAAACAGGAAAAAAGACTTTTAATGTAATGGTGTAAACACTTTATTTACATTTGGCTACTTAAAAAATAAAAAGTAATAATATTTACACATTGATCATGTCATCATCATATTTTGAACCAGTTAATAACTAATTCACTTCCAAGAATATATTTGATTTAAGATTAAGGGATAAAATCATTGAAAATGTGAAACTTTTTACGAATGAAGTTAAGAA